ATCTAAACCCTTGTTTGAACAATGCATGAAAATAAATAATGTGTCGTTTCATTTTTGACGGGCAGCAATAATTTATTAAATCTAAACAAACACCACTACTAAGTACTAGACTATAAACTCAAATATTCATGACAGGTGAAGATCGCCTATTTCCCATGATCAGGCACATTCTACCGTGCTCCACCTCCTCACTTTTTCTTAGCCCCTGCAAATCATAACAAATGTGAAATTCATATCCTATATTAAGGACCCAAGAACTAGAAGATGATGAGTTATTAGATGAAATAGTGTATATACCTGCAGAAGTTGGCTTCACCTTTCCATCATTGATATCTTGCAGATACGTAGGGCATCGTCGTTTCCAATGCTCCTTGTCGCTGCAGTAAAAGCAGATAGCCTCTTTGGGATCCGAAGAGGGTGGATGATCAGAACTGGACTTTCCTTTGGTGCCACTACTAGATGACCCATGCATTACCAACTCTAAAATGGCACCATCATCATAATCTTGTGGGTATATTATCTCTATCGCTTACATCAATTTATGAATGCTGATAAATTGTTAGATTAGTTTATTCAAACGCCTGGTGTTTGTAGGGAGGTCATATTGAGGAGCAACTAAATTGTAGTTGGCGGTGCTATTTTTCACCTCAAGTACCTATTTCTGGAAAAATTGTTGTTGTGATATTGAATGCTTCATACTTTCATTAGTTGTACTTATTGATTGATTGCAATAACCATCAAAGTTATGGAAAATGCTAAAAACCCTCATAATTTCATGTGTTTAAATTTGCACATTCCTTGGTGGTGGTTGATAGAACAAATGCTACTGACAAACATGACAAGGAAACCAAACAAATTATAGACACTTGCGTTTTCATTATTTTCTTGAATGTTAATTATCTCTTATCTCTCATTTGTTTTAATTTTTTCACACAAAAAATGAAGCATCTACATCAGGAATTCCTGCATTGAACCAAAGGCCAAAATCCATATCAAGAATCATCTTACACTTTTACATCAATAGGTATTGGAAATGGAAGACTAAAACATTGTAGAAGATGGACCTATAACAATCACTAACAAACCAATTCTCAAATCTACATCCATGTAGTCCTCTAAATATGAAGGCAAGATGCACCTCCTCCTTTCTCTTTCTACATTGTTCAATTGAGCAACTCATCTAAATGATAATGAGTTAACCCTCTTGATTTTTATAGGAAAAATGTACGATCTTGGAGGTTAACTTCTTGCAGCAAATAGTGCCCCAATTGTTTTCCACTTGGAAAAAGAACTTGTGTCTAAGTCTAAAGAAACTGACTTTCTTAAATTAGCCCTCATTAACAGTTGGACCGAGAAATATGAAGACATCGAAGTTTCTTATGATTATGTAGAAGTAATATCATTACCCTTTCAGGTCTATATTAGTGTCTTCAACTGTTTCTGAAAAAAAAAATTCTATTTATATTCATTTAATATGTTGAAATGTTAAGTTTTGTAGTTCTTGAGTTCATGGAGAGTAAAGGGCTAAAATATGTTCTAAAATCGTGGCATATGGATAGATTGCTTCTGGATATGGATTTATTGAAGATATGCCTTATGCTTAGATTCATGAATTCATAAGAACTTCAAAGGTTGGAAAATAAGATGGTTTAAAGGTGGGTATATGAGATTCTGGCAGAAACTAAGCAAATCTTTCCCCAGAGAAGTTTAATGCAACACAAAACAAGGAAGTCAAAACCATGGAATTCGATAAGATCGTCATTTATGGATCTTTTCTTTTTTACAAATGAGAAAATATACAAATCACCAACCTATGTTCCACTAGGTAGGTGCATTGCAATGTGTCTATACGATAATTTTATTCGAGTCATTTGTTCAAGCTTAAAATGAATGATTTTATTTCATAGATACCAAATGTTGTCATTTCAAAAGATGCTACTAAATAGTTTCATACAATCATTTATGCAAAATCTTGTTTCGGTCTGCACTAAATATATGTTTTTTTAACATATTTGGCCTCTTATCGGAACAAGTTTGCAAAAGCTTTCTTGACGCAGTGGAGAAAAAGCAATATGGTTGATTTTCAGTTTGTAGTAATGGTAATAAAGAGTGTCATTACATGTTCAAGTCCTCAATGAAGGCTTTTTTAGAATAAAAAACTAAGAAGCTACCTATTGAAGATCATATAAGATTTCATGTTTTCCATCAAAGTAGTAGTTTTTCTTTATTTATGCTTATACTTTCCAAGTGTTCCTTAAAAGCTATTGACTTAAAAGTTAATTACTTAGTTGGTTGAATAATAGCATTCAGAACCTAATATTCTTGTGCCCAGTGTATATTAATGCATACATATGTGGGTTATAGGCTTGCACAGGAATTGTCTCTACAAACATATTAATATGATATTTTCTAATAATTTTTTAGGTCAATTAAGGAGCTGATAATAACCCTTATGATCCAAGAGAAGCATGAGCCACATCACTAGTTAGTATTAATAGCTAACTTGGTAGATTTGGAAATTAAGGAACTTGTGTTTTTTAGAAGACTAATGTATTATATGTTTTAAATAGTATACATTTTACTTTGTTGCTTATATTCATTATAATGTCATTGTATCTCTTTTGACAATTTATCTCTAGCTAAAAGATTTTAATGTTTTATGATGTTATTTGCAGAAATTTTAATTTAAATGGTTTTCAACTTGTTTCTAAATGACTGTTTCTAACTACCCATACGAGGTGTGTTTCACTGGCATTGTTATGATAGTCTAAAACAAAGACCAAATTTACAAGTTAAAACATTTTAAGAATAAAATTATAAAAGCTAGCAAAAGTCAGGGACCATTTTTGTAATATTAGTGTTTTATTTTTATTTAAATATGTTAACTTCTAACATAAGAAAAAAATTATCCTTTTTACGGTAACATAATATTTTAAATTTTATACTTGAATTAGAACATCTAAATTATATTAGTTTTTGTTCTCAATACAGAAAATAATGGTTTTTTTTTTTGTTCTTAATTAGTTAACTTTTTACATTATTACATGAAATGAATTAATAATAAAGTGTTTGTAGTCTAACAATAACGATATCAAATGTTGTTTTTTCTCTTTGAGGTTGATGGTTTAAGTGATTAAGAGTAGTTTAATAGAAGTAAGATAGATTTGTCCACATGAAATGAATTAATGATTATATATGCAAACGAACTAGCTAGATGTATTAATTATTATCATCATGGGTATCATGGAGTATTTGTAGTTGCACATACTGGTTCATCGATATCTTAGTTGATATGCCCAAAAGTGGTACTGAAGGTTTTTCGGTCATATTCTTTGTATCTTTGGGTTTGTTACCTATATTTAAATAACCAATCCTAATATTATCATATGTCGAGGTACATAGAGGGTTCCATATCATCAAATACTAACTTATTTATTTATCTTTTTTATCAAACATACCACATATAGGCATTCAACGCCTATTTTTGAGAGCGAATCAAGAACATCAAAGTCTTGAAATCCCATTCAAAGTAGCCTTTTTAGAAGAATGGATCTAGAGTTGACAAGGCCACAAGAATGTACCCATCACATAGCACCTCTTCTCCTCCAAGCTCAAACCATCAAATAGCAAACCATATTGCTGAAGAAGCAAATCCAGTCTCCACTCCTCCATCTTCTCATAATCAACCTTCTGGTAACGAGGGTAATGCAGTGGCATTTGAAAGCCTGATGATGTTTTAATTTGTTTTTCTTTGGAATCACTGTTTGAAGCATTCGCTCCTCCATAATTAGGTTGCCCCAATAGAATCACACTCCAAGCATAATGTAATAGTGAACTCAAACCCATCTCTCTTTCTATCTCCCTCACCCCTAGCTATCTATCAACGTATAGCAATCATATATATATATCTTTATATATGTGTGTGTGTGTGTGAAGTTGGTTTTAGTTCCGATGGCTTGTATGATTGATTTAAGTTTCGTAATCGGAATTTCTGGAATTATTATCTCTTGTTTTACAAGTTATCACAACATATGGCGCATATGGAAGATTTGCATAGGCCAAATAAGTAGCTTGTAATAGCAGGAATGAATTAAATAAGTATCTAGGGAATTGCGTGTGGGTCATGTATTAAGAGATTTGTTTCTGAAAAACAGTGTATGTTTGTTTTTTTGTTTTTTTTTTGCAAAAGGATTTCCGTTTTAATTTGCATAATATGTTATCGTATGGTTATTATATTCTTTCAAACTTTTATTTATATTTTATGACTTTATTTTTTTATATAAAGTTTTTTCTATAGAATATATAGTAAACAAGCATGTATAATTTTAACAAGTTAATTAGACTAAAAACAAACTTCTGAGTCTGCATAGGGAAGAGCTTAAGATTCTGTTACCTGTTTGAATAAATGCATGCCATCTCTTAATATTTACTATGCTGTCTTCATTAATTAATATGATTATATATACTCTAAATTGTGAGGTTGGAATTTGTATAGAGAGTAGAGAGAGAGAGATAGCTTCTTCTTTCCAATGTATTGAAACTTGTTAACTTATATGACATATCACAACTGGACCAGTGGTGGCCATGGTCCCCCAGGTTTTTATCTTCTGAATATCAACTAATTATATTATCAATAACTATTCAAATTAATTTTTTTTAAAATATCAGACTAACCGGCCCCTCCAGAATGATGGTAAATTAAGTTGACAGTTGAGGTGCTATCTATTTATTACAAAAGAAAAAATATATAAATATAAATATCATAATTGCCAACGAATGGCAGCTGTGGTTTGTAAATGCTTGTAAAGTGATCAAGGTCTATTGGTTCATGGAAACCTAGCTAGGTAATATATATATATATATATATATATATATATATATATATATATATATATATATATATATATATATATATATATATATATATATATATATATATATATATATATATATATATATATATATATATATATATATATATATGAGTCACATAGCACTCAGTCAAGTACAAATGTTTGATAATCTCTCACTCAGAACTTGGCCACTCCATCGAGTTATTACAGGTACAAGATGCTTTAAACAGATACTACGCTTTCACATCGTAGCTGTTTATCTCTCGTTTTCTATTTGTTTTTAACTGTTTAGTTTCTCCGGAACACTTGATCTTTTCCATATATAGGTAAGTAGCTTGTACTTCATCTCCTAAGAGAACGATTTGATATAAGTGGTCTTTGTTTTATAGCTTATTAATCTTGGCATCGATATACAATGTATCTACATGATTGGTTTGTAGGTACATGCTGATCCGATCTCATATATATGCAAGACATGGATATTTCATACAGGAAATCTTGCATGGCTTTTGGTATTGTTGCTGTACTCTTTGGTATGTATACTTTTCACAAAAATTTCATAAAAAATTGTTCTAAATCGAGTACAGAATAAAAAGTTTTTTTAACTTACTCCCTTTGGTTTAGAACAGGGGCTGTATGTATCCTAGAATATAGTAAATGCATCTTTAATTAGGAAAGAAAGATATGTATGTGTTCTTGTCATGATTTTTCTAATGAAGTTGAAACTAATTAATTGTTGGCTAAAAATCTTATCATGAAAGACAGTCACTGTTTCTGAATGCTAAATGCTAATGCAGTATCTAATATGGGCACATATCTCCAAGCAATGCATGCATGCAGTTTATTAGTTTGATTTAATTTGGTGAACATTACGATATAAGATTCTAAATATGAGGAATTAATGTGCAACAGTCTTTGTAATGTTTTCAAGAGATCATCTTTTCCAAGGGCAATGTTTAAGTAGTAGAGAACATGCCTTTTCCAAGAACCAATTCATGACTGCTACCAATAGGAGGCTGTTGGCATTACCTGCAGGTAAACAATAGTATATTAATTCTTAAACAAGGATGTTAATTTTTAAACTTTTCACTTATTTGTATGCCTTTTTCTGTTATCATCAGATTACGATATTGGTGGTGGTGGTGATGGTTATGGTGATGGTGATGGTGGTAGTGGTGGTGATGGTGATGATGACCGTATACAGCCACAGTACTGCTCAGCGGATAACATCTACATATCGCAAGGGCAGACACCTCCTCTTCCTAGTGGCATTCCAACATACAGTGTAATAATTCAAAACATATGCATGTCAGGAAGTTGTATAATCTCAGACATTCACCTGAGTTGTGGGTGGTTTAGCTCGGCCAGGCTGATCAACCCAAACATATTTAAACGAATATCTTACAACGACTGCCTAGTTAATAACGGAAACCCTATTAGCCCTGGTCAAACTATCTATTTCCAATATGCAAATACCTACCCTTATCCTATGTCAGTAGCTTCGCTGTCATGCCAATAATTGGATCCTACCACGTACATGTACAAGTATGATAGATAAAGGTGTGTAGATTGTGTATATTGTTCTTTGTCTTTGTTAGTTATGATAGTTAGGGGCTTACTCTTGGTTCACCGATAATAAAAGTGTAATTTTGTTTTGATGAAAATTGAGAACAAAAAGTGTCTCTATGCAAGTTATGTTGAATTTCGATAGAAGTTTGAAAAAGGTCATGTTTCTCCCAACACATGTATACATACAAAATAGACCCGACGAAAACTACCGCAAAACATCACCCCGACACGAAATAAACGTGTAACCTTGTAGTATGCGACATGTAGAAGGTTTTTGACATAAAACAGTGAAGCATAATGCTATAACAGGTAAGGGTATCCTACTATGAGTTATGTGGTGCATAGCAAAAGTGCTACACGGTGCGTATGAAAGTACGATGTTGATTTGGGAGGGTGAACAACATGATGTGTACGGTTTGTATGAAAGTATGATGTTGATCTGGAAGGGTGAACAACATGATGTGTACGTGTTATGTTTTACATGAGGCAACTTGAAAAAAGGTGGTTTGTACGTATAAGTTATGCGATGTGTAACCGATAATAGAGGAAGTATTTATCAGGCCTTGAGTCGGTCATTTTTATCATCATTCTTCCCATATCAGTTCCAAAACGTTCCCACAGTGATTTTGAGGTTCTGAGGTCGATTTTGAGGAGCAAATACAAGAAATACAAGATTTAAATTATAGAAGTGGAATAATGTGCCATCACTTTGTCAAGCTTTTATGGTATATCCATGTGTTATGGGTGATATTTTCATAACTTTATTCTATTATGCCTAACATCTTGAACTTGTACTGACATCTTGAACCACCCAAGACTTTGAACAAGCGAACATCTTGGGATTGCAATTGTATTTCTTGTGCGTGACTAAAAGCTTATCTCACAAGGTATAGACTAAGTCAACTAAGCATGCGGTCAACAAGAAAAGACATTGAGTCTCCCCGAAATACCTGGTCAAGGAACAATAGGAAAAATCTCAAATTTTAAGGAAATTAGTTAGATATCAAATAGATAAATAGAGGAGTCGATATCATTTCACACACGTTCACTACTAATAACACACATACACTTGGTCATTCTCACTACCTCTGAATCATACTACTCACGATCAATTTGTACTTGTAACATTTTTGCTTATTTCTAAATAAAAGTTCTAAAGGCAGAGTGTCATTAGTCACCTCCCAAGGTTTTATGCCAGATGTCATAGAGGATTAAAGGTCTTCCTCGTATATTATTATGTTCTTGTTCTTACATTTATGTTTACATTTATCTTTAACTTGTTTTGTTTATAAACCAAGATATGAGTTATATTTATACAAAGCATGACATTGTGTGTGATCGAGTCTTGAGAAGAAAATTGTGATCATGCATTATTGAGTGAATTGCATAGTAATGTAAAAGTAAAATTTGACTAGCCTAGGATACCCCCCTAAGAAGATTAGCTAAACTATAATCGGATGGTACCTCTCTTTGTGAAGTAGGAGTCTTTGATGAGTCGATAATTGTATGATTTGTTCTATTGTGGTGGTCAGTATTAAAGTCACACAACACGACCTAATCCTTAACGAACCGAAACTATGAAATGGAAGACCATGCCAAAGTAAGCTATGAAAAGGGAGAACATCCCAAAGTAAGCTATGAAAGGAGAGAACATCCCAAAGTAAGTAATGAAATGAGAGAATATCCTAAAAAGTTAATGAAAATGAATAATGAAACGGGGTGGAACCTATAAGACTGCATTATATGAGAACATGCATTGCATAGTTAGTGATTTGTTTTAAAGTATTAAAGTTTATGAAAATGATAGCTTTACTAGATATTTGTAAAGTTATGAAAGTTTTTAAAGGGAAAGTTTTAGTAAATGTTGTAAATGTTTGGATCTAAACCCATATTACTCACTAAATAATGTTGTTTGGTATATGCTTTATTTTAATCCATGTATCTCAGGTTCAGGTATGAAGGCTTAGAAGGTCGTGGCCTTTAGCAGTGAGCTTTTGAAGGATAAAAATCAAACATAGTTTTTATCGTATGTATGTATTCACTTCTTATTATGGTTTTCTCTGCAACATCCCAAAATTTCAAGACTAAAAATTTCATTTTTAATTAACGAATTACAAAACCATTCATAATATCATCCATGTCAAATCCCAATATGTCATTAGTCAAAACATATCATAATAAAACAACATCAGAGTATAACTCCCAAATATCTCATGTGCAGAAACTATGGTGTGATGCGCTGCAATCATGTTGGCTCCTTTCCCTTCGAAGAAGAGGTACCTGAAACCAAAATTGAAAATCATTAGCATGAAGCTTAGTGAGTTCCCCCATCATACCACATACCATACAATAAATGAGTGTCAAGCATATTTGGGTGTCAGCCTCCCCTTCAGTCTATTTCAACCAGATACTGTCGAGCATATCTGGGTGCTAGCCTCCCCTTCAGTCTATTTCAAATAGATACTGTCGAGCATATCTGGGTGTTGGTCTCCCTTTCGGTTTATTTCAACCGGATATTGGGTCTATTTCACCCCTACCACTACCCCATAATATCGTAACAAGTAAGCACATAAAACATAACATATAGTGGCAAGCCTGAAAATTATCACAAAGACAATCATCTCTACTACAACAACTACTAGTGGGTCGGCATGGGTGTCTTCAATACACTCATACGGGAAGGTAACTCACCTCATATTGCTGAAGTTCCCTGCAAGAAATCCTTTGTTGCTATCCTGGCAACTCCCCGAGCTATCAATACCAAAACATCACCCAATTAGCAATTAGGTCCCAACCCATGATCCATAATCCATATGTGGGGTAAAATGGCCATTTTACCCCTAGCCCAACAAAACTTATAATGAATGCCCAAGCCCAAAACCATACGAGTCCACAACTTCAAAATTCATAAAGCTCACTAATGGCCCAATTTTCTAAATTGGGCCCAAACCGTTGCATGAGCCTTACCTTAAAGCCCAATAACTTATACCCAATCCAAACATACCTCCTTGGTTGGTCCAACAATCCATAAACCCAAATAATAGCCCAAACTCAAAATAACCCACGAGGCACAATAAGGCCTATTCTATAATGGACCTAATCCAAGAAGGCCCAATATCCAAAAATGCCTAAAATACTGAATGGTCAACTCTTGGTCCAAGGTCCAAAGCCTAAAAAGTCAATAATCCAAGAAAACTCAATCTGGTGGAATACGCCCTACATACTCTGCTGGTACACCTAGCGTACACCCTTTTGGGCCAGTACGCATAGTGTACCAGTTGGGTATGCCCAATGTACTCCTCTGAATTCCAAACTTCTCCAATAAGTACCTAACCACTTCAGCCCTTGCTCCAACTCTCCAATCTGACTCCTAAAGATGACTTTTCAAGTAAAGTTGGCAAGTTTACTAACATGCATGGCTTAATGGGACTCTAGAGCTTAAAAGAGGTTAATGAAAGGTCTTAACAAATGCATGAACCCAAATAAATCATAAAGATTACATTTTTATGCCTTTGGGACTCTTAAAATGTCCAGATCCACAGTATCAACTTCTGAAACAACTAGAGCTCACAAGATCCACCCAAAAGATGCTAAAATGGTTAAGAACAACCCCAAAAGAGGATCTATGAAATGAGAAGACAAGATAAAAGCTTTTTACCTCCAATGGATTGAAAAAGGTGAGAACTTTCTGGATCTACAAGCTTCCTCCAGGAAATGAGCCATCAACTTTCTTCTCTTACACAAACCACCATAAACACTCGTCTCCAAGCTCCAAAAGTTCACTCAAGGCACTCTAGGGTTTCTATGATGCTAAAAGAGGTGGAGGCTGATCTGAAATAACCCAAGGAAGGATATAATGTTGCTTATATAGGCCACAAGTCGAGATATTAGGGTTTTGGTCTGAAGGGAGTACGCGCTGCGTACCCCTTTGCATGCCTAGCGTACTCAATGACCACCCGCGATCATCCTCCTACATACGTTGGGCGTACCCAGTTGAACACGTGCACGCATCCTTGCATGCACAGGGTTAATCTGCCAAGTATTTCCATTAGGGGCTAGTTTTGCCAAAATCGTTAAAGTACCATAACTCCCTCATTCTAAGTCTGTTTTCGGTGAACTTTTTAGCCACGGAAAGGTGAAGAGAAGACCTGTGCTTCTAGCAACTCACCCTTGCCTAAAAACTTCCCGAACAAGAACCCAAAATCCATAAAAGGTTGAAATCTCAAATTACGATTATACCCTTGGCCTCCAAAGGCATAATCGCACACTTGGATCACTTAACCATGGCAACTACATCCAAAATGGGCTAAATCCTTCCTTTCCTGAACCCCTAAACCCTATGGTAATCGATGATTGTGTCGTAGTCCCGAGTAACGAAGCACTTTCAAAACAGGGTGTTACATTCTCTATGTCGATTCTAACGCCTATTGGAAATATGTTTTGAAATAAAATTTAAAGCCATTTGTTTGGTTATTGCAAGACTATATTTTTTTTTAATTATAACTTAATTTTTATAAGATGCTTTAAAACCATAGTATCTTGTTTTATGAAAAATGGGGTGTTATGAGTTACTACAGATTATGAATTCACTATAAACATTTGTAACATCTCAAAACAATGTAAGATAAAATTTTCATTTCTAGTTCAACCATAAAACCCCATTTAGTATTTCCAATCATTCAAAAGTATATTAAGGTGAAACATATATCATAGTACAATCCCAAAATCATAACGTTGCGGAAACATAGATGGATGCAATGCAGTCATGTCGGGCCTTCCATTTTGTACTAAAAGTACCTGAAACCAGAAACAAAAATCTGTAAGCACAAAGCTTAGAGAGTTTTCCAAAGTACCACATACCATATATACAATAGAGAATGTTATATGCCAACCATAGTCTTGTCATTATGCCACGAGCCATATCATGGTCTTTCCTTACCAGGTCGGGGGCCAAAACCCTGGGTCTTACAAACAAGTACCAAGAGCCACCTTTTGGTCTTCCATGCAAGTATCGCAAGGACAACTAACATACTATCTAAGCACATATACATATCTATCTGGTAGGGTCCGATCCCTG